TCTTCGTCTTTTCTCTCGAATAATCCCACTTTTGAAATCTGGATTTCTTGTAAGATTTCTGGTGGAGTATTCATTCACCGATTTGTTTAGTAACAAGAGCTCTATATATACCAGGATTTACTTTCTCACTGAACCATACTCTTCGTTTTTCCTCTCGAATAATCCCTCTTTTCAAATCTGGATTTCCTGTAAGATTTCTGGTCGAGTATTCATTCACCGATTTGTTTAGCGGTAAAAGCTCTATATATACCAGGATTTACTTTCCCACTCAACGATACTCTTCGTCTTTCCTCTGGAAAAATCCCACTTTTGAAATCTGGATTTCTTGTAAGATTTCTGGTCGAGTATTCATTCACCGATTTGTTTAGTAGCAAGAGCTCTATATATACCAGGATTTACTTTCTCACTGAACCATACTCTTCGTTTTTCCTCTCGAATAATCCCTCTTTTCAAATCTGGATTTCCTGTAAGATTTCTGGTCGAGTGTTCATTCACTGATTTGTTTAGTAGCAAGAGCTCTATGTATACCGGGATTTACTTTGTGTTTCACCCATTCACTTCTCATTTCAAGCAGAAATTTCCCCATTCAAAATTTGGATTTCCTATAAGATTTTGTTCAAGTAGTCCTTCACCGTTTTCTTTAGGAGCAACAGCTCTGTATATATCAGGATTTAGTTCGCCCTTCCAGTAGATTACAGGTGTCCAAAGGTGAGTGGTTTTATAAGTTTATTCTTCTCTCGTCGCAATCTGAATTACGACAAAAAGAAGGCTGCGCCAGCGTAAATGCGGTAGTTACGGGACTGACTTGCGCCGCTGAGTACAATGAGAGGATACTTACGCACATTGTAGCAGTCTTCTCACAGTTTAGGTATATTGGAATCAAGAAAAACGGTCGCCGGAATCAGACCCAAGACGTAATCCAAAAGCAATCGATATAAAATGCATGTGCGGTGATGATAATCTTTTGATGGCATCCAGGTGATATCAAAATCATATCGAACTGAGAGACTGAAGAAATTTTGGTGAAATCCATATGAGATCGATGTGGAATCCATGTGAAATCCATCTGAAATCCATATGAAATCCAAGTGAAATCCATATGAAATCCATATGAAATCCATATGAAATCCATATGAAATCCATGTGAAATCCAAGTGAAATCCATATGAAATCCATATGAAATCCATATGAAATCTAAATGAAATCCATTTGAAATCCTTGTGAAATCCCAATGAAATCCAAATGAAATCCATGTGAAATCAGTGTGAAATCCAAATGAAATCCTGGTGAAATTCTTTCCAAATGTGTGACCGAAAACGGTCGGTTACATTCATTTACGATCGTTTAGGTCGTTGTAAACTGTCGTCTTCGTCAAAATACTGGCGTGTTACGGCACAGATTTTGGTGTAAACGATT